TGTGTGACCACCCCTCGGCGATGGCTACAGTTCAATCTTCACTGATAGCATCAACACAGGCTGCAGACCTGCAGTGCAACACACAGCGTTATCGGTTCAATCTTCAAAGACAATTTACTGCAAGCAGCTGGGCAACAAAAACACCCACCACCCCAATCTAGGTCGCGTATAAGATGAAGAAAACTTTACACTTACGTAATTAAAAAAGTTCAATCAGTTAACGGCTTATAACACTTGTAACGTGAGACAAGGTTTATTTGTCATATATATATATATTGAAAGTCTACATAAAGGGACTGTGTTTACCGTTTTTTAAGAAGAGGGTTTCAGATAACGAGGTGTGTGTGCAAGTAATCTCTGTGAATTAAAAGCTCATGCTTCCTAAACAACATTTTGTACCGTGATTCAATCACAGTCCTCTAGCAGATTTCAGGAATATCAATCTGGAAATGAATAGAAGGTGTTCTATAGACAAAATATGGATAAAAATCAGTTACATTTTATTTAGAATACCAAATCACAACCAGAGTTTCCTCAAGGTGTAACAGTGGGAAGGAAAAATTCCCTTTTAACAGGAAGAAACCTACAGCAGAACCAGGCTCAGGGAGTGAAGGGAAGCCAATACAGGAGAAATCTGACTCTTGCTGCAGCATTTTGGATTAGCTGAAGGCTTTTCAGGGAGTTTTTAGGACATCCTGATAATAAAGAATTGCAGTCGTCCAGCCTAGAAGTAATAAATGCATTAAGTAGTTTTTCAGCATCACTCTGAGACAGGATATTTCTAATATTAAGGATAATTTTAGATATTGCACAAATGGACGAAAGCAGAATATGAATATTCTCTGCAGCAGTAGAAACACAGGAAAAAGATTTCAATAAAGTCTCTTCATAACCATATTTTCATGCAACTAAACTGGATTCTCACTGATGTTACATTGGTTTTTAGTGTTTAGCATGAATCCTTTTAATCAACATACACTCCCTAGACGGTTCATTAGTTATATGCTACTCGGACCAACTTTTGCTCTCAGAGTTTCTGTGATTTTTCCTGTCATGTATTTAGAAAACTGCAATAAACGTTTCTCAGACAATTTGGTCCGTGTTGACATCAGAGCATCACACAGTTGATCAGCTGTACATCCATGATGTGACTCATTTGTTCCACCACATCCCATATTCTGTGGTGTTTAAAAGATGGTCAGTTAGTAGCCAAAGTGAGGCCCAAAGTGTGCCAAGAAGATATCCCCCACACTGTTGCACCAGCAGCAGCCTGAACCATTGATATCAGGCAGGATTGAGCCATGCTTACATGCTGCTTACACCAAATTCTGACCCGACCATCTGATTGTCACAGCAGAGACTCATCAGACCAGGTAACAAATTTTCACTCATCTATTTTGACATATGGTGCACTGAGAGATGCTCTTCTACATACATTGGCTACAATGTAACAAGTGGTCCTTTGAGTAACTGTTGCTTTGCTATTAGTTGAAGCAGTTTGACCATTTTGTTCTGACCTTCGGGATCAATTAAAGCATATTCTCCCACAAAACTGCTGCTTACTGAATATTTTATGTTTTCTGAGAATTCTCTGTAAACCACAGAGATGGTTGTGTGGGGAAAAGCAGATCAGCAGTTTCTGAAACACTCAGACCTGTCTGACACCAACAACCAGGCTACTTTCAAAGTTGTTAAACTTAGCTTTCCAATGCTCAGTTTGAACTTCAGCAAGCCATCTTACTTAAATGCATTGACTTGAAATTTTCCTAAACCAGCAGGTGAAGCTGGCTTTTATGCTCTTCTGCTGCTTCCTTTCAGGAAATCAAATTATATAGAGCAGGGGAGCAGGTCACATCACCCCAGTGACCCCGATAATGGAGAAGAAGCCTCTAACACGTTAATACTGTCAAAGGGTTTATTTGAATCAAAACCACCATCTTTGCATAATGAACCACAGAGAAAGAATCCAAATGCAGGACAAAAAACACCAAGAAAGAGTAAAATCCAAATCTTTAACCCAAGACACAGGTCAAGATATTAGCAGGTGATAATGTTAGAGCAAAGACCTGACAAAAAGTAAGGTAAAAAATCAGGTAAAATGTCCATACACAGAATAATAACTGCAAACATGAGAATCACAGGCATGCTGGAGTGCAACTATAACAAGACAGACTAAAGAGATTAATGAGTAATGGGAAAAAGGTGCTGCACAAAAAGGGCAGGAAAGAAGACATAAGTTAAATAGTACGGAGCCCCGCAGGGGACATGGGAGAAAAAAAAAATTAAGACGGACTTTTGCGAGATCTCGCAAAACTAACTTGGGATCTCGCAAAATGCGAGATCTCGCAAAACAAACTCGGGATCTCGCAAAACTTTTGCGAGATCTCGCAAAAGTTTTAGCTGCATTCTTCCCATTAGCTTGAAGCTAACGGGAGGTCGAGACCTCCCATTAGCTTCAAGCTATCGGGAGGTCGAGACCTACTACAGCCGGGAGGAA